GATGAGACTTCTGTTGTTCTCAACCACCGTCGCGGTGGCTATCGTGTGTGGCGACGCCCGGATGAAGTCTTTACCAAAAGTGTTATCCGAGAGCGGTGGAAGGGCTACTCTGAATTTATGTTCTGGGGCTGCTTCACGTACGACTACAAAGGTCCTTGCCATGTCTGGAGGCCTGAGACTGCGCAGGAGAAGAGAGACGCCGCTCTCCAGATTGAAGAGTTGGATAAGGCTCTAGAGCCTCTCATGAGAGAGGCGTGGGAGCTTACAACAGGCATAAAGAGGCTTGGATTACGTAACAAGCCTGGCAGAGTTCCACAATGGAGATGGGTAAAAGAGACGGGTAAGCTAGCTCGTGAGAGCAGTCGTGGTGGCATTGATTGGTGGCGTTACCAGACTCAAGTTCTTATCCCAAAGCTAATTCCCTTCGCAAAGGAGTGCCAAAAAGAGAGACCACGTGTCTTTGTTCAAGAAGATAAGGCACCTTCGCATACCCACCACGCTCAAAGAACTATATACCGAAACGCTGAGGTGGAGCAGCTCCCATGGCCAGGCAATTCACCTGATCTCAATGCTATTGAAGCAGCCTGGCCATGGCTCAAAAGAAAAACAACACGAAGAGGCGCACCAAAAAGTCGGGCGGAAGGGACAAAAGTATGGCAACAGTACTGGGATGAGCTACCTCAACACCAAATTCAAGCTTGGATAGAGCGTATTCCGTTTCATATTCAAGAAATCATTAAACTTGAAGGTGGCAATGAGTACAAAGAGGGGCGGCGGGACCGATCTACATAGCTTCGGCCCTATTTTCGGCGGTAATCAATGCACCCCTGTCAGCAAGAACTTTTGACAGTCACCTCCGTACGGAGGTGACTGTCAAAAGTTCTTGCTCAGGCGCGGATCTATCGGACCAAATTCTCTTAATACACTTTCTATTATCATTTTAGCGTGTAGATAATATATCTTGATAGAGTTAGCATATTACTATAAGTGTATTCTTTAACAGCTAATACATTTTCTAAACTATTCTATTAAGTAAGGGCTTCTATTTACAAACTTAGTACTTATGATTTATAGTCTTAGGCGGTATTTTCGGCGGTAATTAAGGAACCCCTGTTAGCAAGAACTTTTGAAAGCCACCTCCGTACTTCTCTACCATTTACTTTTAGCTCGCCATGCAGTACTTCACGCTTATCCTTGCTTCACTACTCTGCCAAGTTGGGTTTTCCATGGCCGCCTGCGAGTATTCTCCATGCTCTGAGAAGAACAAAGGAGCTCCATGCACTTATACCTGCAATGTACGTGTCTCTACTCAACTCGAGGCAAACTGCTAACGTGCACATAGGGGGGTGTTGCTGGTATAGGAGAATGCTTGAACGATCACGGTAAAGAGCACGTGTACATATGCATACTTGAGTAAAAATGTATGCCGCGTGCGTCTGGTTGTTGATATGGGCGTCTACCAGATAAGGGTACACTATGTCCTATAGATAGTCGCAAAAGCTGCGTCGACGAGTTTTCTCGCTTCACTTGCCAATAAGTTCATATCACCGACGTTGCTGTGCCGTGGACGCGTCATTGTCGCGCGATTCAACCCCCTAATACATACACAAGCCATGGCCAGATACCACGTCAGCACTAACATGAATATGGATGCTGCACCTCATTGAAAAAAAACGTGGATATATTATTTGCCATTGATTTTGGAATTTTCAGAGTCTAGCCATGCCTTACTCGCTCTATACTTCATTCAGCACGGCTATTTAGCGGATTCGTGATAGCAACCGCAGCATTTTCTCTTCTCCAATCACAATAGATGTATACATGACTAGTAACATATTAAAACTCTGAAGCGATGTCACATAGACCACCGGTCCGAAGTTGACGAGTAACTGTAGTAGGAGCTATAGAACCAGCGGATGGTTCGTTATTTTCTAGGCACATTTACCAGAGCCTATCTTTGACAACTCAATCCCCGTACAATATGCAATACTTAACATTCATCACTTCACTACTATGCCTAGCTGGGTATTCGGCCGCAGCCTGTGTTAGTACCCCTGTCTGCGATGCATCCAACTCCAACATCAACGCTGGATGTCAGGTAGACTGTGTAGGTTGTTCCACCTAACTTCGGAAAAATTGCTCATGTACGCATAGGGGTTCGGCTCTACTGATGACGGGATATGCGTATCAGATTCTGCTAGGCCAACTGTGTTCTATTGCGAAACTTCCTAATTCCGGCTAATAAAGCGGTCGGCTTGTGATATCGGGTGTTCGCCAAGCATAGCCGAGGCTACTGAACATCTCTAGTATCTGTGTAATACTATAGAATACTATAAGAGCCTTTATCATAATACTCTTTGCTCCCTTACAAACGTTGCCATAGACACGTCCTCTCTTTGACAAGCGATTAGCCCGTTCATGTAGTAGATTTCACAACGCAATAGGGTACAGACGCGCTATCGTTGCGACGTTTAGAGATATTACACCGTTCTTGAAAACCACCATGTCAGCGCTAACCTTGATTTGGATACAGTAGGTTATTTCAACACTATTAGGGTTTACTAGTGGCTTGTTCAAGTATATAACTGGCCGCTTGTCCTTATTTTTTCATCGCTTACATTAATCCAAGCACATTACTAGAGCTACATCGTCTGGGACCACCCACTCTTTATACAACATGCAATACTTAGTGTTCATCACTTCGCTTTTATGCGTCATTGGATTTTCAGCTGCGGCCTGTTATGATAGCCCTACCTGCGATGCATCCAACGTAGGGATTGGATGTTCTACAACCTGCGAAGTAGGTTATTCTGCCTAACTGCAGATCACTCACTCATGTGTACATAGGGCGGAGGCACTGGCTATGGAACATGCGGAACATCCGCCCAACTGCCGGGCGTATATTTCTGTCAGGAACTATAAAAAGAATACTTTCGCCAGACGGGCTGAAAGTTGCAAGAACCAGCGCATATGTGGACCATGTCAATCAAACGGGCGCTACTGTGTTCTGATATGAGGGGATTGTAAAGGTATCGGTTTGCTGCGAGTCATGATATGGATATGGGATTGCTGGATGGTTTATTCACGAATATTTTATCGCAAAGACTGTCGGCCTCAACCTTTGCACCGGTTATGCTGCATTCTTGTAGTCAGGCTTAGAACCCAGAAATGTATCGATGCTTATCGGTCACTTCCGTCACCTCAAACTTCATGCCCACGCGTACATCGCCGACCGTCTTGGGCACAGCCAACATGCCATAGCATGGTTTAAACCTGATGCCCTCGTCAATCCTCCGGTACTTCATCAGCACGTCCCAGGGCTGCGTCTTGTGCTTCTCCGCCGTGTCAGGGTCCACATTCGGCACCTGACAGCGTGCACATCGCTGAGTAATGTCCAAGACAATGGGCGTATCGCCAGCCTTCGGGGTAATTCGGATCGTCTTCCAGCGATCTTCGTCCCACGGTGCATTGGCATCGCCTTTGACGAGAATATTAGGCCGGAAACGACGCACATCAATGGTCAGGTCGTCGGCTGCTTTGAGACGCGTGTTGAGCTCGTCGATACTGCTTTTGTTGCCGATGAGAATGGGCATCAGATCTGGAAAACAGGTCGACGCGGCTCTTCCTAGTACGTTTGGTGCGCCGTTTGAGACGAGTGGTCGGGGATCATCAGACACGGGTGGTTTGTATACCAGCCGCACTTCCTTGCCGAAGAAGTCGTTGAATGGGGCGGTCAGCTTAGTAGAGTATACGTGGGTTCCAGTTGTGGTGCTCCAAATCTTGGCCGGATGCTCTTCGGTGTTCTCGTCGAGCCATTCCTTGGACGGATGGGCTGGAATGGAGAATTCGAGTTTCTCGTCAATCGAGTTTGGTGCAGGTGCCGTGACAGTAAGAATATCCGTTTTTTCATCGTAGGCAGTTCGGATTAGCGTCATTTTTGAGTCTTGACGGATGGTGAGGAACTCATAGTCAGGGTAGCTCACCCACATCCACTGGCGATCTGTTACCGTCAGAATCAAAGATGCAGATCGACTCCAGAGCAGATACATACCGAAATCGAGGCCTGTGGGTAGCAGTTTTGCTGAATTTACTGAGATTCCGTGACATGATTTGATTGGATGAATAAAGAGAGCAGTAATCTCCGTCGGTGGTGGCAGAGGTCCAGCGGTATTTTTTGGCTTCTGGTTTGTGAAATAGAGATATGTGAGGATGGGAAGGACGAATATTGACAGCGCAACTGCTGCTCGGGTAGTGGCTGGAAGCGCCATCCTATGTCTTTGAACCTGTAATTGCAATTCCAAAGACCCGAATGCTAGGAGAGAAGATTTTCGATTTGATGAATGCTTGGTGAGGATCCTGTACCACTGTTATCTTGATTTGGTTGTAATCAAGGGTGTGGTTCACAAACGCCCAATTGTACGTAACGAGCTAAGATGTTTCATTAAGGAACCCTTTTCAGTCTGTTCCTAAGAGCAGTTGTAGTTCTTAATGACGGCACGAAGATGACGCAGAGCGGGGAGAGAAGCATGCTATAATAGGACTAGCGTTGCCGAGCTTTCCTGCGGCAACTCCGCAGGTGTCATGTCACTTCGAACATCCTAGCATCCACCCGCTATCTCTCCTTGTCACCCCAAACTTGACGATCGCATCTCGCTATATCCCAATCCCTCCATCAAATCCTCATCAGAATCTACATCAATTACTTGAATTTGTTTCCTTCCACGCCCGCCATCCATTACTGTAATGTTTTCCTCCAGCTGAGTGCAGTACGCCTCCAGATTCTTGATCCGTTCTACTAACTGGATATTGCTTGTCTTTTGAAGCATGCATTCTCTCTCGGCTGCATCTGCGCGTTGCCTTTGCTTTCCCAGCTCATATTCGGCATTACTCACTGCATTACGTCTCCAGCTTTCAGCCGCCTCGTACTCTTTGAGATTCTGCTGCGAGCTCATGAGCTGACTGTTCTTGTCAAATAGCTTGCCTCGTAGTCTAGCAGCTTCGCGTCTAATCTCCATGCATTTCCGGTTGGAGCAGTACTCGTGGTTCAAGACTGTGTTTCCTGCAGTAGAAGTTCTCTCTCGCTGTGGCCGCTGCAACTCATCTTCTACATCTTCCGCGTCCGCTACGACATCGGGTTCGTCTGCTACGACATCGGGTTCGTCTACTGCGACATCGGGTTCGTCCTCTATATAACCTCCATATTCTGACGAGGTTATATCAACTTGATCCTTCAGTACATCGTGTTCGTCGTAGTTGAACGGATATCTCTCGTGGAAGGAACCGTTCAAGGAGGCACCTTGTCTGCGCTCTTCTGCCGAATACATTTCTTCGTATCTCTCCAGTACTGATCGCTCGTAGGCTACTCCCGTGGGAAGATCTGGATAGCCCCGGTATGGGCAGTGCTTTTCGATTGTCGCCAGGGCTATATACGGCCATGTTTCCGGGTCTTTTTCGTTATAATGGGGCAGAACGCTCTTGATATTGTTGTACAGTCGGCTCGAGACGAAGCTGAACGTGCCTTTGTATTCTGTTATCGGCAGCATGATGGTCTACAAGTTGTCAGTAACGTTGTCACATTTGGAATACGATACGTACCTGGAATGCTATAAAGCCGACGAAGAGATATTCCCGCGCCGAGATGGAGGAGTAAGATGTAGGGTACGGCATGCCACTGATATATTTTCAAAGGAGAAAGGTTGTCGTCGAGTTGGTGTGCGCGCTCATCTCTCACTTTCACCAAAACCCGTCTTCACCATGAACAGTACGACTAGCATCCATGCTGCAAATGAAAGCCACATATTTCCTAAGCGAAGACTTGCGCGCTGTCGATTGGATAGACGGTAATCAAGACGGTTGTGTAACCTCACTCCCTACAATGACACTGAGCAAACAGTTTTCTAATCTTCAATTAACTATCAAAGATATGGATAGCACTGCATATGATAGTCCACATCGACCGTGTGGACCCAGATCATGCATTCAAGCTTAACGCCCTAGATTTCTGACCCCAAACTTCAAAAAAGCATGAAAGAATTGTCATCGTCTCGAAAGACGAAATGGTATCGTAGAAAGAAGGCTAGCCCAGAACATGAAATACAGATATGTACCATACGAACAGTCTTGCTCTTTGATTGAACGCTGGGTATTGCGTGTTCGTGTGTAACGCGGAGAAGACAGTTGTCATGGTACTGAATAGTGTGAGAATGCCAGAGATGAGGAAATTATGATGACTGTTTCCAGGAAACGATCGATGACAGTCGAGGCGTGAGGATATCCATAACCGCCACTAATATCTAAGCGTTGCGATTTGTCTTCTTCACGGAGCCCTTGTCGGAAACATGCGAAGGAGTCTTAAGAGACTTTGGCGACTTTGCAGCGCGAGACTTGGCTGGCGTCTTTGTAGACGAGGCAAACCTGGCAGGGAGGCGAGGCAGAAACTCAATCGAAGGGACCTGTTCGCACTCGTGCGCCTCAAGCATCTGGAGAATGACATCGACAATCTTCTTGACCTCGTCGTAGCTCTTGCCGCGGCCAAGCCACTGGTCCAGCTCGCGCAGTACATCGATGGGTGCTTCAAAGTTCTTGCCAGGGATAGGCGCAACGCGCTGCTCGGCAGCCTCGCCAGACAGTCCCGAAGTGATGTGGCGCGAGTACTGGTTCAGGCGCGCTTCCTCCGACTTCTTCAACGCAATGTCGTACGTGGTGCCTGGGAACTGCTTCTCGATGACGTCGAGTTGGCGGAAGATGAGCTGGACCTTGCGGATCTGCCACTTTGCTTTGTTGTAGGTTGCGCGCTGGTAGTGCTTGCGGCAGAACAGAGGCCAGTCGGTAATGTCGCGCGTGCAGGCTTTGTTGCGGCCAAAGTGATCGGAAATGACCTTGCGCGACAGGTCTTTGGTGTACTGGCCCGTCTGGCAACGTGTGTGTTCGTCGTTCATGCAAATGAACTCACGATGGATGTCGGGCACGTCTTCGTCATCTTCCAGAGTCTCCTCTGCAATATCGTCAAGCTCGGCCTATTGCGCAAGCCGGTTAGTATCTCAATGTATACCCTGCGGGTGGTGCAGGATACGAATTAAGCACGTGAATAAGCAACGCAATTACGAACCGGCTCAGTCATGGTTGTGTCTGGAGACACAACAGGCGAAGAAGCCTCTTCTTTGATAGACTTGGGTGGAGTGGAGGGCGTGTCAAGCATGGACGTTTCAATCCTCTCCAGAGTAGCGGTAGGCTGGACAAGGATGTAGTCGAAGCTCATCGCGTTGCGGATGCACTCGGCCTGAGTGAGCTCAGTCGTATTGGAAGCGCCCAGAGGGTTTATCTTGGAGTCGGCGGACATGGGCGGATTGCGGAGAGGGTTGGAGACTTGATAAGAGATAGCTGTAGTTGGGTTGCGCGAGTCTCGAAGGAGGTGAGCGGGGCGCGTTTAAAACAGAAGAGGGGCGTGCTATTGTACGCCGATAGGAAGTGAAGTCGACCCGAGTAGCGGAAGCTCCGCCGTTTGAGCCACACCTTGATCAGAAGGACAGTGATCAGCTCACCCGTCTGTCTTTGCATGCCCTATATTCACAGCCGCGGTACAGAAGCTGACAACTACGACCTCGATTCAAATGGCGCTCCAAACAATCATGACCAATTGCGAGCCCGGGACATACGTGATGGCCAGCCTGATTACCGCCAAGCATTGCGTTTGCATATGTCCATGTATTTGGGCTGCCAACCCACGTGCTAATGATGGAATATCGAAAGACTCAAGGAAATGTCGCTACTGCAAACTGCAAGAAATAGTGTGTGGATGTGGACGGTTGCGGACATTCACAGAAATAATAAGAAAGTGACTGAAAGGAAGCGGTTTACTGGTCGGAAATGATGTAAAGATCTCGCAGTCCAACGAGCCAAATGCTGACTTGGAGCTGTAAGGTTGGTCAAGGGTCGACGTTAGATATCGACAGTTTGTCGTAGTCCAAGGCAGATGTAATAGAGACCTTACCTTGTCCTGCGGTTGTTTGAGTTTGAGTATTGTGAAAGCTGGCGATAGGGCTCGAACAACTGGTAGTTAGACATGTACAGCGAATGGTCGATGAGCAACGGATATCAGGTTCGTATTCGGTATATGCTTCATTGCGACGGCAGGTCCCCTCAGGCATTATGCGTGCTGTAGTTTGTGACAGTCTTCCTTCGATTAGCAGTGAATTCGGCAGTCCATCCGCATGACAGATTTCGATGGTTAGGTGAGATGCGACAGTGGTCCTCCAGAGGGATTCCAGCCCAGAATTGATAAATCTCCCAATCAAACCAATTCAACGAGTCATGATGAATGTGGACAAGGGAAAGAAGCGAGGCGAGGTCGGAACGCTTAGTCATCTATCGGGGGGCTAGCGGCGATAACGGAACACGTGCGCGCAGAGGCTCAATTCCGTCAACAGCCTTGGCGTCTTTTCGCGCTTGTCGACGGGTAGTGAGGAGCTCCTGGTCAACACTGCCTCACGCTGCTCACACAAGCAAATCGCTGGGCACCAGCAAGCTCTGCCGTATCGTTTGACATGCGCCCATACGTCATTTCTATCACCCAACTTGAATCCAAGCACCCCGTTCTGGGCTGAGCGCGTCCGCGGCCTCTTTCCACGCCATCCAGCCACGATGCCGCCCACCACAGGCACACGAACGTCGACGAGACAGGGCCGGGCGACGGTCCGCCCTACAAACTACTATGCGCGCACCTTTGCCGGGCGACTGGCAGCGAGCGGTATGGAGCAGACGCCCGAGGCCTCCAGCAGCGCGCCGGGCTTCCTGCCAGCCCTCACCCACTTCACCGCCGCCGTCGATGCGTTCCCCAAGGAGATTATCAAGCACTTTTCCATGTTCAAAGAGGTCGAGGCGAAACTCCATGACCCGGAGCATTTGCTCAAGGAGCTGCTCGAGGAGATTGCCCACCAGCCCGTCACAACAAAGGCCCAAGCAGCAGCGGCAGAGCATTACACGGCAGGACTCGAGAACAGCGCCAGTGTAAGTCTCTCGTCATGTGCAGTACTACAAACACTGACCACGCAGCTGCCTCAGAAACTCCAAAATCTCTCCCCGGAAGAGCAGGCCGCGATCCAGAAGCGCCAGCTCTTTTACCGCCTGCGCATGCTCATCGCAAACATGTTACCCACGCTCGACGAGAAACTGGTTGTGCTCCAGGGCGCAAAAGCCACCAAAGACAAAGGCCTCATGCGCATGAACCACTCGTACTCGCAGCTCGACGGCGAGATTAGCGACGAAGCGCGATACGGCAGCCTTACGCACTGGGCCTATGCCGACAAGGAGGAGAAGAAAAAGGGCGGCGCGTCCCACGAGCGGCAGCGCCGTGAGGTTGTCGCGGCAAACAACCTCGCAGCGGCAGCGCAGCACGTGCACGATGTTGACTCTATCGCAGCGAAAAGCGAGGCCCGGCGGGAGGCGATGCATGCGAACAAGCGCAATCGACACCACCAGGTGGACTCGGACTTTGACGACCGACCCGCGAAGAAGCCTCAGAAGAGGAAGCCAATACCGACCGAGGCGGCGGCGCCCGACAACCGAAACATTGGCCTGGGCATATCGAGCAATGGCGCAGGTCCTCATGGCAAGCGAAAGAAGACGGAAAAGGCCCTTGCCGCGGCGGCGCCCACAGCCCCGCCCATGGAGCGATCCACGAGCAACGCCCTCAAAGTTGCTAGCAATGGGGTACGGGGTGGATCAAGCCCGCGAAGCACGCCAGCTCCAGAGAATAGTGCTGCCAAACGCAAGCCGCGAGCAGCACCTGCGCCTGCCCAGCGCAAGAACCCAATACCGCCCCATTCGCCCCCCACGGCCTCGTCGCCCCTCGCCGCCAATTTTGCCATCAGCAAAGCCGCTGCCGGCGCAGCGGATCGGCCATTATCGGCACGAGCACGCAAGAACTCAACGGCGGCCTCTGTTACATCAGTCAAGGAGCAAGACACCCCAGCCGCACGCCGCCCATCCTCTTCACACTCTATACAACAAGCTACAAACAATGTAGTCACAGAGACGGAACAGGTGACTAGTGCTGCGCGAGACAATGCCTCTACAAAGGGCGCATCCACCCCGAAGGAGTCTGCAGATGCTCAACCTTCGCTTGAACCACCCATGAAAGTAGAAGACCTCGGACAACCAGAGCCAGAGAGTATGGAGATTGATACACCAGCGCCAGCTTCAGCCTCGGCCCGACCTGGTCGAACATCAAAGACTGCGACACCCGTTGCTGGCGCGTTTCCTGAGATACCCATGTCTCGGAGCCGCAGCAGCCGCAATGCCAACAATGGCAATTCCAACAGCTCGTCTGAGAATAATAGTACAACAACAGGCACCGTGTCGAAACGGGGCCAAAAGAAGAATACACAGCAGAACAACACAGCCGCCTCTCCAGCGCTGAAACCCACATCAAGCGTAAAGTCGAACCCTCCCTCGTCGGCAGCAAGCTCTGTTGCACAAGAACAAGACTATCAAGAGGCAGAGCTCGAAGCCGAGCCCGAAGCCGAGCCCGAAGCCGAATCTGAAGAAGATGGAGATGAACCCCGATACTGCTACTGCAACGAAGTATCATATGGCAACATGATTGCTTGTGACAACGATGACTGTCCCCGCGAATGGTTCCATCTTGGCTGTGTGCACCTCGAAAAGCCACCCACTGGCAGGACCAAGTGGTTCTGCAGTGACGAGTGCAAAGAAACGCATACCAAGGCAAAGGGCAAGGGGGGGCGTCCGGGTAGTAGTAGACAATAGGAATTAGGAAGGAGTTCAAGGCGTTCTGGGACGGGTCTGGCGACAGCTGGGTCTAGGCAAGGCCCAAAGGGTAAGGGCAAGGCTAGGTTAAATCTCTGGGATGGCTGGAATGCTCTTTGAGGGCTTGCAGTCGGGTCTGATTTCTTTGATTTTGTGGGATTTGCGGCGTTTGGGTCAGGCATGCTTCTCTTACGAGCAATGGTACTGGGATTGCAAGGGTTAGCATTCCTTGTCGCTACTATTGCATAAAATTATCGTCATAGCCCTTTGAAGTATCCTCAATAGAGAATTATATGCACTGGATAGACTTGTCTTCGACTGGAGTATGAGATGTGTATACTTGTTTTATGAGTGATTTTAGCGTGCGGACGCAGCGGCTTTCACAACGCAGTAGAGCATGAGATGTGTATACAAGTGTTTGATCCACTGTAAATTGTGTTTGATGGCGTGCAATTAGTCTCTTGACAAACTAAGCGTGACGCGTACTTCACTGCCCTGCGGCAACGGCACGGCCCCACCATACCCCTGCAGATCGTGGGTGACGTGAAACTAGTGTCTTGCCATTGGCTGGCACGCGGGTCCCGCGAGCTGGACCTAGGCCTTCCGCCAGCCGTCATGTACCATTCACCGCTCGGAGTGACACCCCAATGCCTCAATTGCCATAAATTGTTGACCGTATTTCATCGCCCACTATCCTAGCCATAGAGCTCACAATGTCATCCACAGAAACCCCTTCGGCCGACGAGCAGCTCATTTGCGAGCCTCAGGGCGGGGCCCCCAATGCCCCGCCAGACCTGCGTTTCCTACACTACAATGACGTCTACCATGTCGAAGCTGGTTCCAGAGAGCCAGTAGGAGGCTACGCAAGGTTCAAGACTCTGATCAATTACTACAGGCATGACGAGAGATTCCAAGGACAGCCAGAGGTTTTGACTTTCTTCTCGGGAGACGCGTTCAACCCGAGCATTGAAAGCAGCGTTACCAAAGGCAGCCATATGGTCCCTGTTCTCAACAACATTGGCACAGATGTGTCCTGCGTTGGTGTATGTATACCTTTCTTTGTCAGGCTGTGCTGACCTACCAGAACCACGACCTTGATTTTGGCGTCAGCCAGTACCGCTACCTCACAGGCAAATGCAATTTCCCATGGCTCCTCGCAAACGTTCTCGACCCAGCGCTCGGCGACGGCGTACCGCTCGGAAATGCAAAAAAGACGGTCATGCTCACAGCGTCCAATGGCATCAAGGTAGGCGTCATTGGGCTTGCTGAGCGAGAGTGGCTCGACACAATCAACTCCCTACCTCCAGACATTATATACAAGAGCGCATCCGAGACTGCAAGGGAGCTGATTCCAGGGCTGAAAGAGCAGGGTGCGGAGATTATCGTCTGCGTTTCGCACCAGCGAGAGCCAAACGACAACAAACTGGCAAAGCAATGCGGAGGAGAGTTGATTGACATTATACTCGGAGGCCACGACCACTACTACTCGTACAGCCTCATCAATGGAACGCAGGTGCTGAGGTCTGGCACGGACTTTAAGCAGCTATCGCATGTCGAGGCATGGCGAAAGCCTGAAGGCAAGGGCTGGGACTTTAAGATTGTGCGGCGAGACGTCGTCGGCAGCATACCACAGGATCCGCAGGCCATGAAGTTGGTTGATGAGCAGACGCGGGAGATTAGGAAACGCCTGGATAAGCCGGTTGGATACACTGCAGCACCGCTCGACGCTCGATTCACCACGGTACGCACAAGAGAGTCTAATATTGGCAATTTTGTCTGCGATCTCATGCGATACTACTACTCGGCCGACTGCTGCATCATGGCGGCCGGAACCATACGCGGCGATCAAATTTACCCGCCTGGCCTGCTGAAGCTCAGGGATATCATCAACTGCTTTCCATTCGAGGACCCGGTGGTGGTACTCAAGGTCACCGGCAAAGCGATACGCGAGGCACTGGAGAATGGCGTCAGCAACTACCCAGCGCTAGAAGGGCGATTTCCCCAAGTGTCAAACATTACGTTTGAAGCAGACTACTCGCAAGAACCACACTCGCGGATAAAGAGCGTTTTGATTGGCGGCGAACCAGTGGATGAGGCGAGGGAATACGTGCTTGCTACGAGGGGGTACATGGGCCGTGGAAAAGGTATGTTGCAGCTGTTCCACCAAAACCACGACTAACACTTCCAGATGGCTACACGTCGCTGCTGATCGAAGAGGAAGGCGGCGTGGCCAAAGAGCTGGTGTCGGAGGAAAACGGGGTGCTCATCTCGACCATTCTACGCCAATACTTCATGTCGCTCAAGGTGCTTGGAAAGTGGAAGCGCTGGGGCGAATCCATGCACAACAAGTTTCACTCGATCCAGACGAACCTGCAGCAGAACCACGGCCACGCATTCCACGAGCCGTCGCCCATCTCACCCACGCGCTCTACAGACCACGCGCCCAAAAACCCAAGCATACGCCGCGTCGTGCACCAGACGAGCCAGCACAGCCCGAGCGACACATCTGAATCCGAAGACCCGGACCTGGACGAGGATGAAGACGACGGCCCCATGTACGACGACAGCAAGCCTATCAAGTTTACAGACAAGCAGGTCGATGTCATTCGCAGGGTTATGCGCAAGTGGTGGCGTCTCGCGGGGCTCAAGGGCAACCCCAATCTGTGCGATGAGCTGGGTGACGGCGAGTTCCAGGTCAATTGGACCAAGGCGATTGCGCCGAGGCTGGAGGGTCGAATCAAGGAGATTGGGCCCGGCGTCAAGATTGAGGCGTAGCCATGATACCCAAGTCAATTAACATGATATGTTTCTCAGTAGAACAGGTGAATAAATAAGTCTGGGGAGTGCCATGTCTCCACAGTTGGCCGTAGTCGTGTCGTACTTGTGCATATCATTACGGTGGAGGTGAAGTGCAACAACTGGAAAATCAACCTACGAAAAACACTACAATTATTACATAGTACGTTAGGTAGTTACTATATATATACACCTCATGCCCATAGACTGCCCCTATCATCACAGCGGAAACTTCCTAGGCTGCTCATATATGCAGGCTAACTAACTGCGCATCACCCACACTGCCAACTCGTCCAGCCACACACCAACTTGTGTAAATATCCGATAATCCAATTTCATTTACTAGAGTAGCTTGATGCATAACATTGCAGTTCCATGCAAATTTCCCCCATTTACTGCTCGTGTTTTTTTTAGCTGGAAATTTGAATTGTTGCACTAACCCTCGTTATCTGGCACTGTGTCATGCAGTGTTCTATGGCCAAGACACAACTTGCCTAATGCGGTAATATTGTATCACGATTCAGACGCCACACGCAGACCATGGCATGCAGCTATTTTCCTTGTATGCATGCGCAATTGAATGTCGGCTTGCAACGCGATCGCACACGAGGAGTTGAATGAAGCATTCTGTTGCACACACTAGAAACGGACAGGACACACGTGGCAATGTATACATTAGGGTACGGATTTCCATGTATAGAGTTTATGACTGACAAAGACCGACAAGACAGATGACAGATGACAGAGGACACATGTGACATCTGAAACGTGACAAAGACGGCCTGCCCTACCCACGCGCCCATATATAAGTATCAAGACAACAACAACAACAACAACAGCTAGCTGAATAAGACTCTCGTTCTATCAAAACAAGAAAAAAAAAGCCGCGTTCCCTCGGTCAGTAAGAGGTGACGGGAAAAAAAAACGCCATTCCGGTAATTTCTTTCCCCCATATTGGCATTGAAACCAAGCGTTGATATACATAGCTGAGCCATATGCATGGTATGAATGAATAGATGTATGAAGAGATAGATGAATAGATGGGTGAAAAAGTGGGTATAGAAGAAGAAGAAGAAGACAAGTCGAAAACTTGTGCATGACAAGAAAAAAACGCGTAGCATCATGGCTATCGTTTTGGTAAGAAGAAGGAAAAAAAGAATACGTCATGCAAGCGCAGACAGCAATACAAACCCATTATCAAAAAAACAAACAATTAATCTATTCAATGCGGCGTCGTCATTGTTCGCGAGAGGTTTGAGCGCTGCTGTTGGCTCGAAGGGGATAAAGCTTCCTTGCGGAGTTGACGAACGACGGCTTCTAGTTTACGGCGTTCTTCTTGTTCAGCCTGGAAGAGATTAGTTGTCATGTTTAATATCAAGTAGAGTAACATACCCTCAATGCCTTCAATCCCTCTGCAGTTCGATCTCTCATCATCTTTCTAAAGTCTTCGCGCAACATGCGGATGCTCGTCGCGCCCATGTCGAACTGGGCTGCTCCGCCGTTGGGCATGCCGGGGCTCCGGACGCCAAGCCACTTGACCTTTTCGTCACTGAGTTCGCGTTCCAGAGCCTCTTTTTCGTCGCGCAGCTTGTCAATCTGCGACTCGAGTGCGTCACGGTCCTTTTCGTTTTGAATGGCGTCGCGCGTAAGTGCTTCATACTCGGCCGCCATGCCTGACAATTCAGCTTTGAGATTGCGTTCGGACTGGCGTGCTTCAGCCTCGGATTGTGAAGCAACGTCCTGGACCTTGCGCAGTGCTTCAATCTCGCCTCGGAGAGCCTGGTTCTGTACGCTCAACTCATCCAGCTCCTTCTTAATCGCTGGATTGGCGGCAGAATCGGCGGCACGCTGGGCACGAGTACCATATGCGCCATCTAGCTCTGCCTTGGCAAACGTCAGCTCAGTGGTGAGCCGCACAATTTCGCTTTCAAGGCTGCGGAACTCTTCCTCCTTGGCGTTGAGGTTGTTGGTGGCGTCTAGAGAGCGTGCTTCGGCTGTCTGCTTTTCTTCCGTGACTGCTTCCAGGGTAGCCGTGATTTGGGCAATCTTCTTGGTGGCCTCTGCAAGCTCCGTCTTGATGGTTTCTCCAACACGAGCCTGCTCCTGGGCTTCCCTCAGCTTGCCCTCGAGCATAAGAGCGCGTTCCTGGGCATCCCGCACTTGAGCCTCGTAGCCGGCAGTGCGTTGTTGTGCTTCTTGCGACGACACGTTGTATGCAGTGTTGCGCTCTTGGTGGTCCTTGAGCTCTTCTTCGTACGTCGCAGCGCGCTTCTCGGCCTCTTGAAGCTTGCTGTGGTAGTTGACAGCTTGCTCCTGCACGTCCTTGAGCTGGTTTTCGTAGGCAATGGCACGCTGCCTGGCCTCCTTGAGCTCCGTCTCAAACGCAATCACGCGCTCCTGCACGTTGATGAGCTGCGCCTCGAGCCCAGCGTTGCGCTCCTGTGTCTCGCGCAGAGCATCAGGATCGACGCCGCTCTTCAGTCCATCGAATTGCTGCAGTTCTCGCAAAGCCCGGTCAAGCTCATCTTCCATGGACCTCTTTTCCGATCTCGCGCTGAGGATTTGGGTGTTGAGCCGCTCAAACTCGGCCTCCTTTTGCGCGTCAGACTTGCTGTTGAGCTCACGCTGCTGCTTAATCTGCCGCAGGAGGACCGATTGCTTTTCCTTGAGGCCAGTTGCGCGCCTAAAGAGCATCTGGATCTTGGAGGTAAATGCGAGAAGCGAGTAAGTCTCGGAGCTGTTGTCTTCGTCGGGCGAGAGCTGCTCTTGGTTGTCAGGGTCTTCAGCAAGCAATCGGCGTCGCTCCCGCTTGCGCTCGAGCGCTTCGTCCTCGCCCTTGCGGATCATGTCCCACAGACCCTTGATGGTGCTCTCGTACTTTTCGGCCTTTTCAGCATCCTCTCCCATGGGCGCGGCAGAGCGGAGGTTGCTGATCTTCTCGTTCATGGCATACTGAATCTGCTCCAGGTTGTAGAACGAGTCCTCCATGTAGTTGAGCTGCTCGGTCGAGCCACTGCCGGTAATGGCAGGCGGCGGGACAATCCTGCCAGCCTGCTCGTCTGCCGAGCGACTGAGGACCCCGTATAGCTGGTTGTTGATGCCCTCCAGGCGGCCTTCGACCTCGCTCAGCGTATGTCTAGTGCTCGAGCGAATGTTGACTTGTTCGGCACTAATGCTGCGAATGCCCTTGTCGAGAAAGTCGAGCTGGCGATCAATGGTCGAGGCATCCACGGTCCCTTCGAGCGCAAGCGGTGGCAGAGAGTAGTCGTTGTCGCGTTCGGGGTTGGTTTCGATGATGACATTCCGCAGCCGCTCATTCATCTCCTGCAGACGTGTGGCCACGGAGGAAAAGGACTGGTTGGCACGCTCGGGCTGGTGGTGTTTTCCGTTTTGCAGCACGTCCATGAGGTTGTCGAGGTTCTCGGGTGTTCTGTAGAGGCTGCGTTCGTCGAAAAAGGCGGCAGCGGCGCCATTGAGGCGGGCCTCGTCGTACGTATCCAGGCTCGCCGGGCTGTCTGGTCTCCCGAAGCGGTCGTCTGTCCGCTGGGCGGCCTCGTCGCGCTGCTTGGGTCCTTTGTGCGTGAATTGGAGCACGGCGGCCGTGTGCATCAGCAGCTGCATGTCAATCATGCGCATGCGCGACTCAATCTCCAGACACTCGCGGATAAACTCCTCGACCTTTTTGTTGCTCGACTCGAGGCCCTCCTGCTCCTTGGCGTCGTAGTCCTGCACAGCATTGCTGCCCTTGCTGCCGATTCCGCGCTTGTGTGCGTTCGCCTTGCTGCTGGCCAGGCGGCCGAGCGAGCGGGTGGCATCGCGGATCTTGGTCTCGGACTCGAGCTTACGGCGCACTGTGCTCAGGCGCGTGTCGAGCATCTTCTGCTCCTGCTTGAGCGCATCCACCTCCTCGACCGTCAGAATGTCGAAGTTCTGGCTGTCGCCCATGGCCGTCTCGACGAGCAGGTGCATGGCGACGGGGTCCGTGTTGAGCGTGTCGAAAGCCCGCTTGCCCGAGTTGCGCGGCGTGTAGACGCCATTCTCGCGCACCGTCTCGCGGCGGCCGTCGACAAAGACGTCGGGGGGCGGGATGAAGGCGCTGGTGCCAAAGCGCGGCGAGATCTGGTAGGCCATGGGGAAGAAGCTGGGCGAGGGGGCGTCGATGCCCGAGGGATAGTTGGACGTGGGCGAGGGGAAGCCATACTGGGGGCGGGGGCTCAGGGCGTCGGGGGCGTAGGGGTACTGCGTGCGCAGGGCCGTCGTGTTGCTCATCGTGGACACTCGCAGCAGCGGGCGGCGCGTCGACGAGGGCGAGTCCAGGCGCTGGGGGGCGGCAATGGAACGGACAGAGAGCGCAATGGGGGCGCTGAGGAGGAGGACCCGCGCAGCCAGCGAGAGAGAGTGAGGGCCTCACGGGGCGCGAGGCATAGCAGCGCCTGTGTATTTTTTGTTTTAGCTCGCGGCTTCAGGAGAGGCGTTTGGTTGGGGTCGAGGGGGGAGGGGGGGTAAGGTAGGGAAGGGGAGGGGGCATGCAGGCAGGCCAGGCAGGGCAGGGTTAGTTTAGTCAGTGAGCGTCGAGGCTGCGACGGCGGGAGATTCGCGGCGTGGCTGCTTCATGCGCTTGGCAGGCACCCGTGCCTTTCCACCAAACAGCGCGCTTACTGTACTTACTATCAGCTATACTCCTGTGCCGCCCTGACGCGTGCACTCGACGCAATCTGCACCCCCAATCCCACGCCTGCTAATCATAGCCTGCACGGCCACGCCCATCGCCATCTTGCCACCCATGGGCGCACGACCAACGTTCGCGCCGGACCAGGTCGCCCGCTATCTTGATAGGCTGGGCCTGCCCGAGGCGGAGCGCCGGTACAGCGTGGCTGGCCTGGATGCACACGACGCGCTCGACTATCTGGCCCGCCTGCAGACGCTGCACCTTGCTGCCGTCCTCTTTGAGAACCTCAGCCTGCACTACTCGGCCCATGGCACCGTGTCTGTGCATCCCCACCAGCTGTCCAACAAGATCATTGGCGACGGCAATGGCCGCGGCGGCTACTGCATGGAGAACAACAGTCTTTTTGGCACGCTGCTGGCCTCGCTGGGCTTTGCCGTCTACTCGGGCGGCGGCCGCGTCCACGAGCCGGCGGGGTGGACGGGCTGGCTGCATCTGCTCAACTTTGTCACCATCGGCGACACCAAGTACCATGTCGACGTTGGCTTTGGCGGCGACGGTCCGATTGTGCCCATGCCGCTGGTCCGCACAGGCGCTGTGCAGAAGCACATTCAGCCTGCCGCCGCGCGCCTCGAGTGGCGCAACATTGCCGGCAGCACCGACCCGGGCCAGCGTCTCTAGGTCTACGAGTACCGGCGCAACGACCAGAGCGCGTGGGACGTCAAGTACTGCTTCACCGAGCTCGAGTTCCTGCCCTGCGACTACGTCTCCATGAACTACTTTAGCAGCACCAGCCCGCGCACCTTCTTCACCACCATGGTCGTGGCCGACAAGAAAATCATGGGCGACGACGGCGAGCTGGTGGGCAAGATGAGCATGGCGGCCGCGTCGCTCAAGTGGAACGTTGGCGGGCAAAAGACCAAGGAAATCGACTTCAAGAGCGAGGCAGAGAGGATAGAGGCGCTGCAACAGTACTTTGGCATCAGGCTCAACCAGGCAGAGCGCGACGGCATTGCCGGCCTGCCGTCGGAGATCAAGTAGAAAGAATTCATTCTGAATCTAGGCGCTGGTAGCTTTCCATGCCGTGCTTGTGACGACCCGATACTCCTCCTTACAAGAAGCGTTGCTCGCACTGGCCCGGTTAGCACATGCCATGGCCCGCTGCCGTCGCTACATACCCTCCATGGGTTGTTGACCTCGAAGCCGGCCGGCGCATACGGCTTGTCCGTCTGCCCGCGCATGAAGCCCGTCAGCCGGCGGTCGCGTTCCATCACTGCATCTTGTGAGTAGACGTCGCATGAGGTCATTGTCCAGTCGTACTTTGCTGTCGCCTGTTAGCAGTCATTCAGCCCGCCCGCACTGCCCACTCACCCTGTCCCATGCATCGATTCCGCGCCGCGTCCGCTTGCCTCCGTTCTGCATCTCCTGGAGCTTTCCGACCGACACGGCGCTGAAGGCGAAGAACTGCACCCGTCAGTATACCTGGTGCTGCCCCGCGGCTGCGCGCCATTGACTCACGCCGGTCATGATGGCATAGGGCAGCAGAGCCTCAAACGGGACGCCCATGGTTGCGGTTGTGTATCAGTTGCTGCTGGTGTGTGGTGTGGGGTGGTTGTCGTCGACTGCGAGCTAGCCAGAGGTGTCGTCGGCGTCAAGTGAGAGGTGCGGCCGTGCGTGTGTCTTGGCTCCCCCGACCTACGCAAAGAGTGTCATTTCAGACGACGAGAGCGCATCGCCCACGCCGTTTCCGGGCGAGCTACAATTATTCCCAGTGTCGCCCCGACTCACCCGTTCAGACGAACCGCGAATCCCGCCCCCTTGGCCTCGCTGCTCCGCGGAATAATTGCCCTCGTCGCCATTGCGCTCCTCCGCCTCCCCCACGACCACCCACAACGCGACTGCGAGCCTGCCGCATCTCGCTGGGCTGCTCGCCACCCGCGACATAGACACAAACACCCGGCACAGGCCAGGAACGCGCTTGTCCTCTGCCACGCCCGCCCCAACGCGCTCCACCACACTCGACGCGACCCCGACTCGCTGCCCCCAGCAGCCGCTGCGACTGCCACCACCCGTTCAACCCATGTGCTAGGCCTCACGCTTCCCCCGGACTGCGACAGTGGCTTATTTTGCCTCAAAGGTGGCCTCTGCCGTCAACTTCGCCATGGCGGAGCTTCTGGGCCAGGGCGCACCCAGCACCAACGCCGACGTCGACGACATTGATGCCGACGGCGAGTATGAGATGGATGATATAGAGTACGACCAGCCCCCCGTCACCCCGGCTGTGCCCGGCATCCAGCTCCATGATACCGACGCCGAGGGCTCCGACGTGGATGCCGAGGGCGACGAGGTCGACGACGACGAAGACGATGCCGAGCCCGTGGGCGACGTCAAGATAGCGCGTCGGGCGCCTGTTTCCGACGACGACGAGGAAGACGACTACGACGCCGTCAAGGAGTCGTCAGACGCCAAGTCGAGCGACAGCGACGACTCCACCAACGCCGACTCGGAAGACGAAAACCAATGGCAGGCGAGTGATGATGGTGAGGAGGAAGACGAGCTCGTCAAGTCGTCCAACCCCAATGTGTGCATGTCAGTACAGACCTACACGTAGTGACCCCACTCGCAGCGCATCAGCTGACGCCCACCAGATACTGCAAACAAGACGAGGACAATGACCCCAGCCCAGAGTTTGAAGAGTATCTCTCGTGCGCCGTGTGCGGAGACAATGGTGAGTATTCATTGCTGTTGACATGTTTGGTCGCTGACATGTTGCTGCAGCACATCGGCAATGCGCCCGTGGCGCTAACACGCTTAGTCCCGATGACGGTATGTTCTCATGTCATGTCATGGCCAAAGGCTCCACTAACCCTTGCAGATGCAAAGCGTTGGCGCTGCGATGACTGTCTTGACAACTTTCCCACAGAAGAGGAGGAGGAGGAGCAGCCGCAGCCGTCTGCTCGTCGTAGGCATTCCTCCAACAAGCTGACCAAAGAGCTGCTTCCTTCGCTGCGCGGCGTCGACCCAGCAGGCCATTCCATTTTCAAGGACCTGATTCTTCCAGATGAACAGCCAGATGGGCTCCGTTCGCTGCGCAAGCGCAAGACTTCGCACGGCGACGAGGCGCCTGCACTGGTACCGTCCAGGCAAACCAGGAAAAAGCGGAGACCCTCGGAGGCTACCCATTCAGATGCAGCCCCATCGTTGCCTGCCTCGCCCCGGCCACCATCGAGAAGCGTTCGAAGTGCTCGCAGCGCCATTGGTGATGGTCACGAAAGCGGCGCCGATACAGAGCACACTGGATCAGACCGCGAAACCACCCGTCTTCGCCCAGCGCGTGCGCGGCGTGGGCAGCCAAAGAGAAATGACAAAAGACCGCTCGCTTGGATTGAAGAGGCGCAGGGTCTTAGCCTGATTATTGCGTTTCATCTCAACAACGAAAAGGTCCAGAAGATTGTCACCTCCAAGCCCAAGAAAAAGGCCCCTACCATTGAGCAGGAGCGGCAGGAGAGGCGGCGCGAGCGAGATCGAGAGCGGCGCGAGAGGAATCGCCGTGCGGCACAGGCGGCGCGAGAGTCGCCAGACATCCCGCACTACCCAGCCATATATTCCCAGTACCCCACGCCCTTTGCAGGCTTCATGGACAAGGAGCAGGATGAGTCGAAAAGCAAGCCATATGGTGGTATCCTGTCCGAGGCTGACGCAGACACGTCCAAGACGTATCCTACGCAGGCCGACAGGAAGCGCTTCGACGACGCTCGCATCAAGGCCGAGGAGGACTGGAAGGCAAAGCAGGCTGCCCTGTATCCCCCCGAGCCGGTGCGGTCCCACAAGCAAGCAGCCACTGCAAGCAAGATCAAGTGTGTCAACTTTGGCGGCTGGGAAATCGACACTTGGCACGCTGCGCCATATCCAGAAGAGTATAGCAAGAACAGGGTGCTTTACATTTGCGAGTTTTGTCTCAAGTACATGAACTCGGATTACGTTGCGTGGCGGCACAAGGTGTGTTGAATCATCTCGAATCTGTGACGTTACTAATGTCTCCAGCTCAAATGCCCCGCAAAACACCCTCCTGGCGATGAGATTTACCGCGATGGCAAGTACTCCTTCTTCGAGGTGGACGGCAGGAAGAATCCCGTCTACTGCCAGAACCTCTGTCTTCTTGCCAAGCTCTTCCTCGGCTCCAAAACGCTCTACTACGACGTCGAGCCGTTTCTGTTCTACGTCATGACCGAGAACGACCAGTTTGGATGCCATTTTGTCGGCTACTTTTCCAAGGAGAAGCGGCCGAGCTCACTCAACAACGTCTCGTGTATTCTCGTGCTGCCCATACACCAACGCAAAGGCTACGGGCAGTATCTGATTGAGTTTTCCTACCTGCTGACGCGTGTCGAGCGGAAGACGGGCAGTCCTGAGAAGCCGCTGAGTGATATGGGTCTGGTGAGTTATCGCAAGTACTGGCGACTTGTCTTGTGTGAGGAGCTGTTAGAGCAAAAGGCGCCAATCAGCATATCCGCCATATCAGACCGCACGGGCATGACTGCAGACGACATAATATCCGCTCTCGAAGGTTTGCGTGCTCTGGTACGCGATCCTGTTACAAAAAAGTATGCGCTGCGGCTGGATCTCGACTACTTCAAATCTTATCTCGAAAAGTGTAACGCGGCCGGCAATCCCAAGATCAACGCCGAGTGTCTGGTCTGGACGCCCTATGTCATGGGCCGACTGGGTCAGTATGAAGACGGCCCAGCTCTGCAGACTGTTCAACAACGAGACGAAGGCGACGAGCAGCCCGAGGAGGGTGTGCAGATGGAAGCGGCAAAGGCCAATGGTGAAGCCGATCCGTTTACTCCTGCCCCGACTCTCGCACTGGCCGCCGAAGATTCAGTCAATGGTTCGCCCGCCCCCGGAACACCCCTTGCCAATGGCTCCACCATAGCCCTAGCAGGATCGCACATGGAGGAGCCCGCCATTCCCCCGACGCGCTACGAAATCTTCCCCCCGATCCCCGGCCAGCCCGCCCAGAAGCGCCGCCCAGGCCGACCATTTGGCTCGCGGCGGCGCACAAGCACACCCAACCGTATGCGCAACTCGCCCATGACGATTCACACCGCGCCTGTATCAAAAATCCAGCTCTCCCCAAGCCGAAACGCAAAGGCACAGATGTCCCCGTCCGCCAACGGCGCCTTTACTCCCGGCACCATCTCGCTCCGGCGCACGCGCAGCCGCCTGGGCGAAAGCGTGACAAACGGCGACGAAGTCGAGGACGGCGGCGCCGTCAAAGCCGTCATCACAAACGGCCGCAGAAGCACCCGCTCCTCTGCCAGTTCCCGCGGCAGCCTCGATTTCAAGGGCAAAGGACGCGCGCTCCCAATTGAAGAGGAGGAAGAGGAAGAGGAAGAAGAAGAGCAGCACCAGCCACAACAACCGCAGCAGCAGCAGCATCATGACCATGACCACGACGAGGACGAGGATATCGATGCTGATGGCGACTATGACGACGAGGGGCTCATGGATATTGATGCCGAAGGCGAGGATGACGATGATATCATCATGGCGGATGCATAATCCTTTTCTTCATTTTTCCTCTTTTCACAAACTCCCTTTTTTTTCTCATCTCGAGCATCTGTTAGATGAATGGGGTCCTGTGGCTCTTTCTATTTGCCTCGCCCTAACCCTCCATCTTTTTCTTCTTCTCTTGTTTGTACATGCGAGATATAGCCATGTTTCTAAGTAGCCCTTTTCTTTTTCTTATTCCCCCCCCCGTAACGGGTCTTTTAAAACGGGGGTTTTCTGCTGCCTACGACTTGACTTGACTTGACTTGACTTGACTTGACTTGACTTGACTTGACTTGACTTGACTTGACTTGACTTGACTGCACTCTGCACTCTGCACTTTTTATATATATCTCTCTCGTGTACTATGTACTACTAGCACAACTACTACTACTACTACTACTACTACTACTACTACTACTAGCACTGCTTTATTGTTTTTCTTCTTCCTCTTCTTTCGCCCTGTTCTTCGAGTTTTGGGGCTTTTCTTGCAGGCTTTCGAATGAGCTCGTTGTTTTCTATTTTTTTTGATACCTAGGGAAATGGTGTTTTTTTTGGGAGGGGAAGGGAGTGGATTATGGCTGGAATGTGCGGAGAGGACAGTATTGATGGATGGATGGATGGATGGATGGATGAGAGGGAAAGGAAGGGAATATGTATGTTTGTTTGTTTGGGTTCTTGCACGCGGAAAGGTTGCAGAGTGAGCATGTAGGCTGGATAGATGGGTCAAAGGAAGGGGCGGTGAAATGGCAAATTAAAGTATATTTTACAAAGTGATTTATTCTGCTGTGTGATTTTTGCTAGTGATTGTATTGTGGTGATTGTGAGGATAAGGTGGAGGAGAGTAGATTGGGTAGAAGACATGTGTTCTTCTTCTTTTTTTTCTTTTTTCTGACTTTTGATCTAGTTATTGGTTTCTGGATGATGAGCTTGTACGATAAGAGGCGAATTTCGCATGCATATATAGACAGATAGACAAGCATAGACACATATTATCAATTACTTTCCTCGATGCATTAATTAACCCCCCAGTACGCCGAATGATATTTCCATTCGCCCTATCAACCAATCCTTAATCCAGCATTAAACCTTCGTAGCCGAGTCCCTCGCAGTCAGACATTAAACCTTACTGTAAACCGCCTTTTACCATCCTGTACTCATGGACATGTGTCGAAACAGACACAATGCACTGATGCAAGCCGCCCATTCTACCCAACGCCCAGAACCTAAATCTCGTATTGTACAAAGTCAACTTTTTCTCTTTTTCCCCACCTGTTTCCCCTCGTTATGTCGTAGCACACAGCACTGCATGGTACCTCGAGGTCTTGCCCGAGACTACTGCGTCTTGCACCCGTCCTGGCGACCGCTTTTCTGAGCATCAGACTCCGTGGATCCAGCGGGTGCATCCTCCGTATTTACCTCGCTTTCTGGTTCCGTGCGTGCAAGTGCTGCATTGATCTCCTCCACCATCCGTAACGTCTCTTGATGAATTCTGCTTGCTTCCGCTGCACTCGCGGCGTGGCTATCGAGGTATTCTTTCGTACGCGCGATATGAGCATCCATCTTCCGCCTCATTTGCACTGCGGCCTTTACGGTGCTGATGACGTGCTGAATTTGCGCCTGATGAGCAGCCGTGTACTGGGACTCGTTGGGCGGATTCTCGCTTTCTTGGATGAAAGCCAAGTGTTGCTTCGCAAATTCCATTGCTTGTCGAATTGTGGCATCTATCGTCTCATCGTCTATGCTCTCATCGTCGTCGGATGATTCGGCAGATACGTCGGGTGCTTGTGACGAGCTAGCGCGTGGTGATGGTGGTGATAGGGTCCGCAAACGCGAAGCAAAGTGTGAGATTTCCGAAGCGGACATTGGAACAGGTGAAGGGTTTGGAGCAGATGCTTGTGTTGCGGCATCTTTGTAGCGAGGAGATGCTGCGTTTGGAGAGGGCGCTGTGGTGTCCTGAGAGGTGGTTTGTGTTGCGGCGTCGACGTACTGCGCGGATGGCTTTGAAGGCTCCATCTTGTGCGAAGTTGAAGATATGCGGGTGGGTTCAGAATAAAAGTGAGTCTGCAGAGCAAACAGAGCATAAATATGGTGGCCTAGTCACGTGCGTAGCAAGGCTCGGTGGTGGTCAGAGCGCAGCGCGACTTGGGAAGAATACTTGTCTTCTCTTTTTTTTCGGGGTTTGAATTCAGTTCTTGGGCTCCGAATGGCGGGTTCGGATAATGAGAGGCTGATGCACTTGCATACAGAGGGACAGACAGACGTAGGCGTGGAGAATCGGTCACTGTTCTACGTAACATGAGTCTGTGTCTGAATGCCTTATTAACGAATCCATGATTATTGACATCTATCAGCTTCACGTTCATAGCGGTTATTGAAGTTTACACAATTCATTCATATAGACGCTGAATAAAAGACTCGTTTTGTCAGCACTTCGCTGACTTCTTCATTAGCTCAAGGCTAATCTCTTCATCAGCAGACAACCAATATCACCACTAAGCACAAGGCTACCACCAATAACCTAGATCTATCACAGGATCATCCTCTACAACCCCAGTATCTCCACCCCAGCCCCCTTCCTCCGCACCCGTCATTTCCTCATATCAAAGCGCATTTTCTGCGTATTTAATAAGACAATCAAAGTACCAAGTTAGCGTATTGTGTTGCCTAGTAAAGTTGTACATACACGAGTATTAGTTCACGCTGTCCAGGGCCTCTTGCGGAGTACGCTCAATGTTGAACCGGAGCCGGTACAATTGATATATTGTACGGCGAGGAAGTGTTGTGTCCGCCCAGAACCGCTGCTCTTCTGGGCTGAAGTCGGGTTGCCATGCGGGTTTCTCTGCGAATTCGTCGGCTTTGTGTTGACGCCTTTGTGCGTCAAGTTGTGCGAGTTCGTCCGGGTTTAAAAGGCTGCGGTCCTTTATAAATTTGTGGTATAGACGCTGCGAGATGTAGTTGGACCATGGTACGCGGTCGTATTCTTCAACTTCAGGAGGAGGCATGTTCGAATTATTCGGGGGAGCGGGCGACTCGGCAGGTTGCTCTATTTGCTCCATTGGCTCTGGATGGCGGCGAGGTCTTTTGCCGCGTTTCCTGTACTGTTTCTTCTTCTGATTCGAAGCTGCTTGACCTGTAGAGCTCGATGGGTCTCGCCAGTTGACAAAGTCGTCGAGTTCTCGCTCAGTCTCGAATTTGAATATGTGCGGAGATATACGAGGTTGTAGTTCTTCCGCCTCGCACATTTTCTTCCAGCATCTGAAGCACGTATTGCCACAGCCGCATGTGAATGGATTCGCGCGGTTCGCATTTGCGGGCGGATTGGTGTGTGCTGTCGAATTAGGCATTGACGGATTCGAGTATGGCCAACTTGTATGACCGGGTTGGGGGTATTGATGCGCATCAGGTTCATAAAAAGACGCCATAGTGTGCACACGGAGGAGAAAGCAAATTTTCGTGGAATAGCAAGCAGTAAAGCCAGCGCCATTCACTGACTTAAAATTGACATCGCAGACCAACTTATCGTAGTCCTACTGGGCTATGCAATGTTGGTATTTTGTGTAGATGAAATATTACCCTAAATCACCAAGACAAAGCAACATCAGAACAGATTTCATTGAGGGATAGGTTGACCTTTGGATTTTGCATGCAATCAGCAATTGAGCATTTTCCACTTGTTGCTTGAGCAGGCAGAATAGTCTCACCTCATTGCAAAGCTATTGGATAGGATATGCTTATATTGCTAATCATGTATGATTTTCTCTTTTTTTACTCGCGAATCGAATATAGATATTACGTCTAGAATAACGACATCAAGTCGGAAATGGTGTATTATAGGTAATAATGAATATACATATAAAACTCACATGCCTATTTTGAAAAGATGACCGCCTTCTACACTATTGGATATTCTTTTCAGGCTTTGCAATAGTTTGAACTGTGCCTGCATTAATTCGTTGAGAAAATCCCCTTTGCAAGTGAGCGTTAACATCGCATCCATCATCTAATTATACCCGTCTATGCCAAGTACACAGAATGAAAGTATTCGAGACCACACTTCTTTTATCGCGTCACAATGTGAATAGGTACAAATTGCAACACTCTGTTGATATATCTAGTATTCCTATTGCTATATAATACTTACAACAATGTACAAACGAACAAACCACTAAACATGCATCTCATCCATATAATCCGAATAGATTATTACTATATCCTGTAAGACCAACCGACTACTTTCTGGCTAAACCCATTATCCACAGAAACACCAACACCCAGTCTCCAAGGTGCTTACCTCACCAGCTTTAAACTATATGTTCATTTAGTTTGAACCATGGTCTATTCACCTCGTCAAACAGTAATGGGAAAAGTTGCAGGGGATAAAATAATGCGCCTTTTCACAAATCCACTAGGAGTAAATAAGATTTCCCAAAACTCTCAAGCCCAAAGTTTCTTTGTCTGGACGCGGAGAATTTCCCCAGCCTCTATTCATTCCCATAAACACACACACGTAGGTATACCTACACCCACCCCTATCACCACCCTATAAACAAAATAGATCACGATGCCCTCGGGCCATGTACGTCATTCCGTCTCCGTATATATTCCGATTTGAGAAAGTGCTCCAACGCCCAAACACCTGTTGAACGCGTTGGGCCCGCGTTCAGGCCATCGTGGCCCGCACAGGCACATACCCACGAAGGCCATGCTCAGCGGGTGAGGCTGAGCAGGGCGGGGCGCACTATTCCCAATGGAGTTAGAGTTTATAAAGCGTTAGTTGTTAGTACGAAAGGCAAAGGATCAGCGATACCGGCCCGGTTTATTGACGGCGTGCGGTGTGTGCGATAAGATAAGGGGGGGCGTCGTATGCGGGGAGCAAGTAAGACGACAAGCCCCAAGCCCCCAAGCCAAAGACGACTTTACCGACCAGCGACAGGGATAATGATGCCATTAGTGGCTGGAGGTGGGAAACAGGAAATAAACGCCGCCTGGGCGCGAACTCCTTCCCATCCAACAGAACATGTGCTTTTTCTGAGCAACCATCCGGTTCCTGCATCCCTCCAGCCTCCCCGCGCCCCCCCCTGGCTTTGTTCCTTTTTCTCGGACTTGCGTTACGAACAATGTTTGCGCCATCGCTCTTGTCGCTTGGCATTCTTGTCCCACTTGTCCTCGTCATCCGCGTGCTCGTGCAATACGTGCAGAATCCACTACGCAAGATTCCCGCTGCACATCCCCTTGGGCACTTCACGTCGCTGTGGATAGCTTCGGTACGCTGGCGGGGCATTGAAAATGCAACGCTCAAAGCTGCGCACGAGCGCCTCGGCCCGATTGTATGCTTGGGCCCCAACGACATCAGTGTAAACTGCGTCAAGGGAGGCATCCGCGATGTCCATGGTGCCGGGTTTGAAAAGGTCAACGCCAAGGATGGATACAACTGGTATTCTTTCTTTTCAAACTATGGCGGGTGAGCGGAGTTTGGCGGCGTGGACGTGCGGCTATTGACTCGTCGGCAGGGTTGACAACATGTTCTCCACTGGCAGCAACAGGCCGCACTCGCAGAGGAAGCGGATGCTGAGCAACATCTACAGCAAGTCGCATATTCTTGCGAGTGATGCGCTCATGGCGCAGACATCTGCCATCATCTACAAGCGCTTTCTGCCCTACCTCGAGTCGACCTTTGCCCAACCAGAACAGGGAGTCCTGAACATCTACGCACTACTGAGTGCAACAACCATGGACATTGTGACGTGCTATATTTTCGGCCTGGACGCCGGGTCGAACCTTATCGACAACCGTGAGCAGCTCTCTTGGTTCCTGGACTTGTACAACTCGCGCCGATCATTCAATTTTTGGCCGCAGGAATTCCCGACATTGACGCATGTTGCAGAGAAGTGGCTCGGCTACCGATTTACACCAACATGGGTCGATGAGGCAAACAGGGAGATCGAGAGATGGACCGCCAATGTGTGCGATAAGGCCGGCCGTGTATTGAATGCGGGCAATGCAGGGGTCGAAAACCGGCCTGTAGTCTATCAGCAGCTCCAGAACAGCATGGCCAAAGAGGCAAACAAGAGCGGAAGCAATGTGCCGCAGGCGACCGAGGTTGCAAGCGAGGTTTTGGACCATCTCGCGGCTGGCTTCGACACGTCGGGAATCACGCTGGCCTATGTCGTCCACGAACTCTCAAAGCACCCAGAGGTCCAGGCACGTCTTCAGCACGAGCTTCTCGGCATATGCCCACGCGTTGCCCAGTCATCTGCGCCAGACCTGCCCGACCCCAAGGCCGTCGACGGGCTGCCCTTGCTGCACTCAGTCGTCTGGGAAACCCTGCGTCTTCACTCTGCTATTCCCGGCCCGCAACCACGCTTCACACCACCGCAAGGCTGCCGTCTTGGCCCTGGAGAAGCAGCGTACCATGTTCCAGGGGGGGTAAGGGTGAGTGCAAGCGCAGGTTTGCTGCATCTGAACGAAGAGGTGTATGAACGTGCCGACGAATGGAGGCCAGACCGGTGGTTGGACCTGGACAAGCTGGGCGAGGAGAAGCGGAGAGATATGGAGAGCCGGTGGTTTTGGGCCTTTGGAAGGTTAGTTGCACTGTTGACGTAAGAATCTGCCGCTTACCATGCACAGCGGAGGTCGTATGTGCGTTGGAAGTCATCTCGCAGTGTACCGTAAGTGCCGATCTCTAGCCAAATGTCCCGAGTCCTGACCCCGCGCAGAGATGAAGTACATTGTTGCAGCCCTCTACTCCAACTACACCACGGCCATTGTCGACGATGCGGGCATCGAGCAGTCCGACTCGTACACGGCACCGCCCAAGAGCGACAAGCTGATGGTGAGGCTGGAGAAGCTGACGTAGAGACGAACTGTTTGGACCCTGATCTCCAGCATGAAGCAAAGAAGAAGTGGCTGCCCCGCTGCACGTGCAGCCAGTCGATCAGCGGAAAGTTACGAACAGGTAGAGTAAGCGAGTCGCCGGACTCCGGGCACGGCGCCCCCGGGGCCGGTTCACGCCGTTGTAAGCGTGAACCATGGTAGAGCCGTATCAGCTCTGGACTAGCAAGCCAATCGCGTCTTGTATCTGGTGGGGCTCTGCAAGGGAGATGATGACAATACAAGAGTCATTCAAATCACTGTCGACACTGTTTCGCGCCCCGTTGCTTCTGGCAGTCGCGTGTTGCCATTGGGCTTGTGCGTAGACTGACTGTATCAAGCCAATTTTGTTCTTCAGCTGTTCAGGCCCAGCTAGTGTAGGCTAGCATCTCCGAGGAAATGACCATGGGTTCGGTCGGAGAGGTCGACAGCCAATCGAGCCCGCCGTGGTTTGGGCCGGCCCACGACCGGTTCTGCGTCTCCTCTTTGTCCCGGGATCATGTATCTTCTGCGGAACCAGTTACACTGTGCGTATACAAAAGACGAGCCTCTTGGCCTGCCCGCGGCCCTGGGCTTGCTCATGTCATGGTAACGGATGTGGCGAAGACATGTCGGCTGGATGCCGCCATCACCTCAGCTGTCAGGACTGGTGACTAAAAGCTAGTGTTTAAGTTGAATTGATTCATGCTGCGATACTGTGATGAGCGGAAAAAGTACATCCAAGTACATGCTGACTGGCAAATTGATGCTGAATCATACAGTGGACGAGCATGTGTACATAGGATACCAGACTGATTGATGTCACTGCCGAGTTAGTCCAGACGCACGACAAAGGTAGCTGCAGTAAGCTGCGTAACATGTCGGTCATGCGGTGGTGCTAGGATTGCTAGTGCGGACTTTTGGTGGGTGCCGTCCGTGGCCATGTCTCTTGAGCATGGCATAGGCGTCTGACCATCAACCCATTTCACATGTACGGCGTAGCGGGCGGCGGAGCTGCAGTAATCGTCTGTTTCATGGAGCCACGAGAGTGTGGGGAGTGGAGACTGCTAGCATGCGATTAGATGCGATGCAGGGGAAGGTCGTCGAGAGAGCTGTGTAGCAGTATGCCCCACATGTGTCAAGGGACCAGCAGGTTTGAAGCCGCTCCCTCAAGCCGAACACGGTCCAGATTAGTTTTACGCAGCGGTAAAGTTTTCGGCTTTGACTATGGCAGTGCGCCGGTGAAGTGCAGATTGTGGCGCCTGAAAGGATGCCCGTAGATGCCAAAGCGGGGAATGCCCATGCGTGGATTGAATTGGCTAACGGTGTGAGGTGCATGTTGCGAGTGGAATCAACTAGACGTGTCGGGTGCGTGTGCGAGTGAAGGCGTCGAGGCTGTCGTGTGCAGGTAGCGTGTCTGAAACGCTATGGCAGCGTCGATGGGCGTCGGCAGCGTGATGGCAGTCGATGAGTCGTGTTGTGCGGCGAGCGAGTATGGGTCATAGTAGGAGCGAAAAAGTAAATTAAGTGCATACAAGGCCGATGTTGGGATAATATTTGCAAAATATGGAGGGCGGCAATAGCGCAGGATGGTCATGTGCTAGAGGACCAGCCCCGGGGCGGCCCATGAAGGCACCGCGCACGTGAGCTCAGACTGGCCGACCTGGCCACGCTGGCGGTGACGAGGCAGAGAGCGTGGACGACTTGGTGGTTTTCCATTTGCGATGTGCGATGGGCGATTCGGCCTGGTGGGCAGGCAGCGGGCAATGGCCTGGGTGGCATGGGGCCATGCTGTCCCGGCAAAAGGGCAGCTAAGGACATGGCGAGATATAGCGGCTGCTGTCAGAGGAGAGGTTGCCGGGCCAGCGGTCTCGCCCCAGGGCGGGCGGGCGGGCGCTCACTCGCCGGCTGCTTGTGGTGGCTAAAGGGATAGATGGCGAACGGGGGTTGCAGGCCACGCAGTGCAACGTCGTAGAATTTCCGTCCTCGATGCAAAGGCCAAGGCGCGACTGGCGGTGCTCGCAAAGGCTTGGCGCCCCATCCCTGCAAGCATCCCATTCTTGTCTCGTGCAAAGTCGCTGACATCCCTGCTCCAATTCACTCCACCCCCCCAGCCACCACCGCCGATCATCCCTCCCCACATGCAGCGTTGCTGGGCCCTCCCACTCCAAGCACAGCAGACACCTCTACCTACGCCCGATGCTCTGCTAGCCCTTGCGGTGCCTGTCTCTTCTGCTGTTTGGCTGCTGTGCGTCATTCACCCCCATGCGCCTGTGCCGCCAATCGGCACACCTCCTGCACAGCTCCCGCACACTTCTCGCCGCGTCCCAGGTTGGCCATTGACCAGAGCAGCATGCTGTCATCTGCTGTGAAACTCCAACCTGATGTCGGCGCCCTAGCCTCCGCCTTGCTGGCCGTCTGAAAGCCTCGAGGCACGTCCCGGAGCCGCCATTAGGCCCCGCCAGACGCTCTGCATGCTAGCCACCATGTGCCTGGACGTGTTCCGTACGACTGTCTGCGCCTGAGAGCGGCCCCGGCGGCTGTGCTGTCGTCACTCGAGCTGGTGCCGGGCGGGTGCCGGGCTGGGTGTCGAGCTCGCCATGTCGAAGCCGTCTTGTACATTACTTCTTCTGGAGCTACCGCACTCAGGCACCCCCGTCTCTCTTTATTTTGACCCTGGCTTCTCACCTTGTCACTCCGACTCATCGCTTCAATTGCCTCCTCTACGACTCGTCATCATCCAATTACATCAACACTCTACCACGGTTCCGCGCCACTCAGGACCCTCGCGACGCCTACGACTTGTACCTGGCCCAAGTGCTCTGTACTGTGAGATAGGACAGTCGCAGTACCACTAACCTAACGCGGAACATATCCAGCTGCTACCCCCCCAGAAAGTGCGCCATTTCCAAGTGGACATCACCGTTGGGTGACCCCTCAGCCGCCAGCGGGCCTCTAGTTGGGTCCCACTGAATACTGCAAGCCCTGTCCCCACTACCGTGCAAGCTATTTCCATATCGAGGCTTTTCATAGAGCGGCAGTGCCCCTTGGATCCGTCTCCTCAGCCAGGCAGCATCACCCGTGCTTTGTCCCAGGACAAAACCGCCTTATACGACTCACCCTCTTGCTCACACTTCGCGACCACATTTCCATTACCCTTTTTCTGATAGGCCCGCCTTGCGACCGACTTTCCATTACCCTTTGTTTCATAGGCCCGTCTCGCTGATTTACCTCAACGCTCGGTACCGTACCCAAATGAGCCCATCAGTAACCTTTGAAAAAAAATTCGCTTCTCAAGATTCTGGGGCACTATAAATCTGGCTGTTCCCATCAACCACTCCACGGCACCTAAACTACGACTGCGGCTACCACTACCAAAACCACATCAAACGCAACCACAGACGAGCAGTTCTAGAACACGGCGCCCAAATGGCCTTCTCGTACAATTACCCACCCTCAGGACCATATGCGCCACAGCGCAACTTTGTGCCATATCAGTCGTCGACAATATACTCGCTTCCAATTTCAACTACCCCTACCACCGGCGCGCTAACGGCTTCATCATGCTTCCTATCCGTCCGCCAACAACCTAAAGAGGCCCTCGTCACAGTCAAGGGCAAGGAGAAGTTCAGGAAGCCCGTCGACCCTCCGCCTATGCTGCAGCTCAAAGTCAGCTCCGAGACCGACCCCTCGCAGCAGTTTCTGCAAAACCCATACCTCTTCGTCAGCGTGTCGCTGTACAAGCACGACAAGGACGAGCCCATCGACAGCACACCGAGCGACACCCTAGCAGGCACCCTCGTCTCATCGCTGCACCGCCTCAAGGACATTGACAACAAGGACGGCGCGTTTTTTATCTTTGGCGACATCTCCATCAAGGTCCAAGGCTGCTACCGGCTGCGCTTTACCTTGTACGAGCTACAACCCACATTTATCACATTACAAGACCTGCCGCAGTACCAGGGCGTCGACGGCACCGACCTTTTTGGCACCTACCAGTGTCTCGGCCACGTCATGAGCGACAAGTTCAACGTCGTCCTCCCCAAAGACTTCAAGGGCCTCGAGGAGTCTACATATCTTTCACGCGCTTTTTCAGACCAAGGCGTGCGCCTACGCCTGCGCAAAGAAGCCCGCGGCATGATGGGCAACAAGCGCTCCATCAGCGAGCAGGAACAACCCCCCATTGCAAAAAAGCGGCGCGAAGACAGCGTCGAGAGCGCAAACACATCACTCATGAACCCTTTTCCCTACGCCGTTTCCCAGTACGTCCAGCCAACCTACATGCAACCCCAGCCAACGCAGGACCAAACATACAACTGGAATCCTTACGATCCTTTTCTTTGACGAGTATATGTCCCCAGAGGAGTCATGGCGTTGCATCGCGGAGATGCCCCTCACCCTTTTTTTTTTAGGTCCGTTTATTTGCGACCACTTGTTAGTTAGCATTATACAAATTAATCCAGTGCTTTTTTGCCACATGAGTCTTCCAATGCAAAATAAAATAAAATGTGACATGTGTGATATCCTCCCTATACTCCGACCTCGGATGGCAATTCTGTCCAATCCTGAGGCTTGGAAAGATATCTGATTACCTTTTTCTGTGGAGACATTTCTGTAATGATGATGATAGTGATAGTGATTGTGTAGTCGTATTATTATTAGACATTAATCTACGTGACTTGATATATCGTACATGCCCATGCTTCTGCTTGCTACTTCTGTCCATCCATCTATGCACTAGCAAAGAGCTAGTGTTGAATGCTGACTCATAATCAAGAGAAGCGCCTTGCCTGCAGCTTAGGCAGATTTTCCCTGATGAAGTCCTTCATTTCCTTTACGTCCTTTTCCCTTTTGGCAATGGCCTCGGATGCGAGCTCCAATTTGTCTGCAGCTTCGTGTACAATTTTGTTCCAAGTAGCCGTATCCTGCTCAAGATCCTTCTCCATGGCGGCTAGCGCACTGGATGCAAATTCGGCAAAGTCGGATTTCATGCGAGATATTGTGCTCTCGTGTTCGGCGATCTTGCTCAGAGCGTCTGCGAGAGTTGTCTCTAGCACGTCGAGCACCTCTGCGAGTGTCTCTTTCAGACTATCTCTTTCAGCATTGCTATCGGCAAGATTTTCGCTGAGCTGGTTTCTCTCTCTCGTCAGGAGTAGTTGCTCTCGCTTCGATGCATCGTCTTGATCTGACCGGGCGTGTATGGTGGCAGCCATCAACTCTAACCGATTCGCCGTGTTGTGGATAATCGTATCTTCGATACTTTTACCCGTTACTTGATTTATATCGTCGTCAGATCGTGGATCCTCGTGATCGGCTGGCTCAAGGTTCAATTGCGAATTCGCAAAAGTGATAGCTCTGCGCCGAGACCACTCGCTCCCTGTAGCACAAAGTTCGGAGTGTTGATTCACAGCCTCGTAGTCTTCGAGCTCTGAACGGAGGTCGGCAATCTCCTCCTCTTTATCTGTTATTACCGTAGCTTGGTGCTCTAGTTGTGCCTTCTCCGCTTGCCAGCGCAACCTATCGTGTGAGTGCTGCGTGCGCTCTTCGGACTGCGCTTGATCCAAGCGTTCTTTGACCTCTTCCCATGCGGATCGTTCGCGCTCATGTTCGTGGGCTGCATTGGCAAGACGACTCTCTAACTCCTTTTTCTCGCTTTGCCACGCTGATCTGTCTTTGATGTACTCCAAAATGTGAGTGTGTTCTTCGGTTTCCAGGAGAACCTTCTCTGCTGCCAGTGTAGCCTCGCCACTGCTGGGCTGGGCTGCTATGTCAACCGCATTTTGGGTGAGCGTCGCAATTTGTGCTTCGAGTTGCGCTTTTTGGGTCCGTAACGAGTCGCATTCCCCCTAATTATATATTAGAAGGCACATATATCGAGAGACGAGAGCCCACCTGTAGTGTTGAAATTTGGTGTTGTTTGTCTGCGACATCCGCTTCGGCATCGTTCTTCAAGCTCGCCACTAACGCGAGCTGCTTCTCCAGGTCGGCCAGGTCAACAGTGCGCTGAGCAGCTACTTGCGCATGCAAATCTGCATTTTCCGTTTGAAGGTCTTCAACACTCCGCTTTAGAGCCCGGTAACTGCCTTTTGGATGTCAGTTGTTGTGTCATAACAATCAGTCGAAACATACCTAAGCCTGCACGCACGAGAGCTGCTGAGCCTTTGAGTTCAATAATACTCTCACGAAGCGCCTTCTCTCTATTAATCTGCTCCTCTTGGTCTTGTTGTTGCTTTATCAAGGCCCGGCTGAGTTTCCGTTTCGCGTCAAGTTCAGGGTCTTCGTATTCATAGTTGTCTAAAACAGGTAATTTTACAACTTTTCCTAGTTGTTGCAGGGCCGGGAAGCCGTATCCCTCTACGTTGTAATGGTGCGCCATGGTTGTGGTGCTAGTTGAATGGTTTTGGTGGGGTAAAAGCGGGTGGAGCTGCAATTATTTCCGGTTTTGGGAGAGCGCATACAAAGCGCGCACTGGCCACCACCGAGCCTCGCTGCGCACGTGACTAGGCCACGATACTACGGTCAGTTTGCTCCCCAGACTCACTCTTTGCCTCTTTGCCTCCTTGTACCTCCCCGCCTTTCTTCCCTGCATACTATGGAGAAGTCACTGCATTCAACTTCCGCGCACGACAAGAACGCTACAGCCCAAATTACTGCTCCGAACTCGTCAATTCAGCAGATGCAGCATCCGAATCAACTCGATGCATCAGTGCCTTCTGGCGCAACGAATCAACAGAGTACACAGGCTATAATACAGAGAGCAAAGGATGTCATGGTGCGTGCAAAGACTTTTAGTGAAGGGCATCGACCCATTCCTGCAAGATTTCAGTACACTGCTGCACATCGAGCAGAGGCACGGGTGCTAATGAATAAGCTAGAAACGATACATCACAGAGTCAAGACCGTCAGTGAGCAGACTGAGGATATCCAAAGTTCCTTAGACAAAGACACGGTTGCGGCAATGGCAAAGGCACATCGAGAACACGAGGAGGTCGTAAAACTGTTGGACCAGGCTAGAAGTGTGTCTATAATGCCCCAGAGACGTGGTCTCGAGCATCTGGAGCTGGACAATAGCGAGAGTCAGCGGCGAACCGCTTCCGTGAAGAATCCATTCCGAAACCAGCGACTTGCACCTTCCAGATTACTGCCACCTGGCCCTACAAACAGCATCCCAGGTGTTGGAATGCGACAGGTACCAGTCAGCAGCCTTGACACTCAGCCTCAAGATGCAGCCATAACCCCCGCGAACTCTGCACCCATGGCACAAGCTACTGACACAGAGACGGGTAATACATCAGGTTTTATGATGCAGAAACCCGTAGCCTGCAAGATCAACTCAAGCCGACGTAACCGCATGCTAGAACAACAGCACAAACAAACAGGATGTTGCAAACCCATGTAGGAAAAAAGAGAAGGGGGCCGGATGAGAACGGTATGTGGAAATGATGACAAGAATGATGTTCGGGGTGGCTTCGATGGAAATATTACACAGCACTAGATAGATAATTCACTCATGCTAGGGGTCCTACATGGATTGCTCATTTGTGGCGTGTGCTATACGGATTGCGCGCTCAAGTTGGTGGGCGGTATAGACACTGCTGCGCTGGTGTGAGACTAGTTAGAGATGGGGGTGGATAGTAATGTTTCCAAACTAGTTCTCGGGCCCCCAATATCTGCTGTGTCGCAAATGGTATTGAATATAAACAACAATAGCAGAATTGAAGGGCGATCTCACGCTGACGTGTCGGACGAGAGAAGACATGTAAGTTTCGAATGTATATTCATTTGGGACTAGAATACATTGTTTCCATACGTGTACTTTCCACCCAACCCCCATTAGGTTTCCATCGATGCATGCTCAGTATCGATTCACTGATGCAAGTTCCACCATCCTTCGTTCAAAGCAAAAGGCAAATTCTCTCGCAAAAGGTTGGCGGCTAGAAATCGAGCAACAGAGCACTGGACTGAGAGTCCGAATACGACTGCTCATCCGTAGACGATTGAGTATCGAGGGTGTCATGCGATAAGGCGGGCAATGCGTTGACCGTCCCAACAGACGCAGTTACTTCTCGCTGCAACAATCCCATAACTCTCTTCGCAGCAGGATCATCGATAACATCAGGATGGTTCATGATTTCATCGCAAATGTCAAGCCCTTCGTCTCGATCTTCGTACATTCTCGCGCGCAGCTCAAGACGCTGCTGCTTGCGTTCTGCCAAATCAGCCATCAGCTTCGCGTTGTCTTCATACAGCTTGCGCTTCTCCTGAGCCACTTCTTCGGTGCCCTGAGTGCAGGCTATGATTTTCTTTCTGGCAGCCTTGAGGTGTTTTTCGTACTTGCGCCTCTTCTCCTCGTCGCGCACCAAATTTCGCTGGCACGTATCTCCCCTTAGTCGAAATTCTGTTGCCGCATCCCAGAGATGCGCTGCAGTCTTCGACAACAACTCTCCTGTATCAGAAGAGCTCACGCTGATACCTGCGGGCGTGACTCTGAGCCCAGTGCCTATTTCAAAATAGGCCTGCGCACTCCGCGAAATAAGTTCTTCGCCGATTTGACATTCTTGTGGCAGCGCACAGAAGAAAATGACATGCGAATCCAGACGAAAGCCACGATCAGGAAAGAGGTGTTGGAACGCATTGAGAACGAGCTCACTGAGCCAGCTCTGTGCTCTATCCGCACAGTACTTAGCTGTCGAAGCGGTGCTTTGCTTGTTTTGCGAAGCCGACATATTTCAGGGTCCAAGGTAATGGTGCTTCCCGAGCGGAGTCGTCAAGCTCCGTGATATTGTTCTCCAGCGCAGCGCAAAACGTCAAGACATTTTTTGCTCGCTGTTTGAGGCCTCCGAGAAAGAAGTGGTGGCCAGACTTGATGTCTTCTTCCGTTGTGTCCACGCTTCTCGACTGACGCTCAAGTTTTGCAATCTCTCTTGCGTCCTTGTCATTGCCACCAATGTATCGACGAAGTAGCTCGGTAACTTCCATGGCTTCGCGGGGTGTGGGCGATTGTGCATCCCTGTCGACAATCTCTCTCACGTATAAACACGGTGCAAACTGCTCGTTGTATCCTTGTATCCATTCTGAATCTCCATGCTCATCCTCGTTCGGAGAAAAAATCTCTCGCAGTGTCTGAACTTCCTTCGAGCGAGGAGCAACACCCTCTCCATACAAAGCCTGCAGTATCTCTTGCCGCGAGCTGGCAAGGAGGAAGACGGTGAATTCTCTCCATTTTTTCAGCCGGCTGATTTCTTTTTCTCCGTTTGTGAATGGATGCTGAGCCTGTTTCGACTCCTTATAAGCCTCGTCGATGACCGCGGCATAACCATACTCTTCATACAACTCGCTGTACTTGTTGTGACGCGGTACAGCAGCAGCTTCAGCTTGTTGAACTTCATCCTCGTCAAGAGGTAGGCTGACTGCGGGTCCTTTCGGCGCACATATCTGAGTTGACATGCCTAAATTCACTGCGTCCTTTGTTTTTATTTTGAGGCGAAGCGTGGGCGTCTCCCGTAGGGTTAATGGTTACACGGCTGTTTTGAAATGTCCTCGGAGGCGTATTGTTATCGATATGTACTATGTAGCGAAAGTTAGTATAAATCTACAAGTACGATTTACTGAAGATGAGACGAACTAGGTGCGAACTGCTGCTGGCTTGGGGCGCGGTAGGCCTGTTTTTTATAAGCAATGAGCTGGCGATATGAGGAGCTCCGGTTTTGTGTGGCGATCAGGTTGTGCGGAAGAGGAGGAAGGCTCGGATCGCGCAATATATGCTCTGTGGGCGCCAAGCCACAGTGAATGTCGAAAGAGGCAATCACGACTAGCTTGCCTACCTGACTGACATCATTTGCCACCTTGCAGCAATCAAGACACAAACATATCACAAATGCGCAGGCACGAGATTGAGGACAGTAGTTGTAGATCCAACATTTGGTATTGTGAACTACGTAAAGTCAACCGCACAGGATGACCGGCGTTATATGAATGATGTGTGTACAGAGAAATGGAACCAGCACAAGGCTAGAACAAGGGACTAGAGGCAATTCTAGTATCATAAATTGGTACGAGGTCAATATCATGAACAAGCACAACGCTGGTATCATAAACTGTTAGCAAGCAGGAACTGAAGACTAGAAACAAATCTGGTATCACGCATCAGCACATGAAAAACATCAAGGATTAGCCAAAGCTAATTTCAAACACAAGCGGAATGGTCGCGGGAAATAGAAAGGAAGAAAATGAAAAAAAAACGAACAAGTTCGTTTTCAGTAGCCACGACCGCCACGGCCACGATTCCAGCCCCAATCTTGACGTTGATCTTGACGGCGATCAAGATACGAATTGGGATTGAGGTCGGTATTGGCATAGTTGCCGCCACCTCTGCCATGAGGCTGGTCTGCTTGCCCAGAGAATGGTAGATGGCCCCCACTGCCCATGGCGGCCATTCTGTTCCACGTCGCATTTGGATTGGATTGGCCCTGCCACTCATAGTGCTAAGGTTGCGGTCGTGGCATTTCTCGTTGAGCAGCTCTCGCCTCGTCAGTCATGACGTGAGGCGTTGCGAATTGACTCTGATGCGTTGACACCAGCCCAGCCTGTGCCATTGCCCACTGAGTCCCTCGCGGTACAGTGTCCAAATTCTGCGATCTGTATGTCTGGGCTTGTTGATATCTCATAGGCAGAATTTCGGATTGGAAAGTTTGAGGGCGAACGGCTCCGAGAGTAGCCAGAGTTGGAGCTGCTCCGTACGCGTGACCGGATTCTTGTGCTTGTTGATGCGCCGTGGGCAGTGGCTCGAATTGGCTAATTTGTCTACGAGCTGGTCGATAAGAGTCCTCGTAGAACTGGGCTTGTTGGTGATGCGCATGAATCCACTGACGTGATTCAGTGGCCATCTGATTTACTGGATTGAACTCATTGTATTCGCCATATGCAGGGCGAACACTTGGTTGGACAGCTATATGTGCTGATTGCAAGCCATTAAATTATCGATGACGGGCTGGGAACTCATTTCTCAATGCTGCAAAGTCTTCGCTCTGATCCTCGCATTGTCTCTTTGGTACTGGCTCATTGGGCAACGTCGCGCGAGTGCTGGGTGGCGCATTGTTGTAAGTCCGCTTCGTCCCTGGCATCAGGACGGTTACTGGCTGTGTCGCTGGACCAGGGCCGCGGTGTGCATTCGGATTCAGGCCCAGCCTGCTCCCTCCACCCATATTCTTTCGCAATTTTGCCAGATGCCTCTTTAGTTGACTCTCATTCATTGGCCCAAAGTCGACCACTCGTATTCTCGGTTGTCGCGGCGGATTTAGCCACTCGAAATTGAGCATTTGCTGATTCAAATGGTTTCGATACTCCCTGATTCTGAGGAATCCTTGCAACTCCAAGTACCTCGCCTCTTGTTCGTTTGGCTTGATTTGCACGTTGCTTGGGATACCAGTCCTGAGGTCCCAATTCACGTATCGCACCAGAAACGCAGTCGAGGTCCAATGCGTCGGGCAGATCTGCAGCGCGTTAGCTAGTAGAAAGAGTATGAGATGCTTGTCACTTACTGCTTGGCCTTCCGGGTGTGTCCTGAAGGGCTGAGTGCAGGCGATGCAAATTGCATTCGGAGGACAATTTGGAAGGCCAGGGCAGATTGTCTTAGGCCGACCACACTCGAAGCAGTTGGCCTTGTCTCCACCCATATCTGCGTCTCGAATTAGGTAGAACATATCGCAGTCAAAGTAGTTCTCTGGTGGGATGTATCGATCGAATTCATAGCGCAGTACCCCATTGCCAGGTGGGGGCGGTGGAGGCGGTGGTTGAGGAGCCACTGAGAACGGATTCGGATGGTACGTGTTGTCGTATTGGGCATGAGACGGATATGCATCGTCAGATTCTTGCTTGCAGTGCTGATTGGGAGCATGCTCGAATCTGGAGGCATCGTCGCCGCGTCCAGATTGACCGAATTGAGTGAAGTCGGATCGATCGAATTCATCATCTTCATCGAATTCGTATTTGATTTTGGGTTGTGTTGAATGATCCCTATTGCCGGGATCAGGGTTGAGAAAAGGTGCAGCATTGCTGCGCTTTGAGTCCGCCATGTTGATGTGACTGGCGACTGGAAGTGTCGAGTGGTTCGAAAGATTTTTGTGGCGGTTAGCAAACACTCACCACGCTAGTGGGTTGCTGCTTAGCCTCACCACTCATCGTCCGCTATGGAAGTGGTCCGATCTTGTCTATTTTGTGACCCTTACTCTTTTTAGAGTGATCTCGTCGTAGTATAAGGATATCTGTCTCACATATCAGCATCAAAAGGAGAGCAGATACAAAGGAAATATTGTGATAAATTGAGATGGCACATCACCTGCTAGTAAACAAATCAAATTCAGGGCCTTTTGGGTTGGATGCAAACTAAATCATGAGGCACTCCATATGGATGTAAAAATCCAGATATCCCCGCAGCCAATATCTCATTGATATTGAGCTGACCAAAACCAAACGCATGTAATTCATCAAGCCTCCCAAGAAAACCTGTTGTGCTATTCCTCGTATGCCGTATCTGCTTTTGCCCATCATGCCTTATAGCCCTATACCCAATCTCAATAGCATATTATCTTCTCGTGCCGGACCAAAAGGTTTGTAGTGTCGCGAAAAGCACCTGAGAAGCATGCTTCAACGGAAGTCAAGCTGCCAAACCTCAATCATAGCTGACGGTCAAAGAACCAAGCTTCTTTCCTTTGACTGTAATAAAGAAGTCCAAGGCAGACTGCAGAGATATGTTGACCGTACAATCCACACTGTAGTACTTGCGACCAGATGAGCTAGTCTTCAACTTCATTTCCTTCGTAGGTAGGTCGCTCAGATCTGAAGTCAGCGTTGCCACATGGTAAATTGACTAGTTTAGTGTTAGCTATATTCATCTCAGAGGTAATACGCTTACCTTCTCTACGGATCGTGACGGAGCATTGTCTACATCGCATGCTAGAAGTTTCCATTTATCAGTCCGTGCCTCGTCTACCCACCAATTCGACACTATCTCGACAGCTGCATGTGTTGCGTCTGATGCATGCATATCTTGCCCCCTCTGAATCAACCAGCTCATTTGGTTTCTAGCCCATCTCTGGCCATCGTATTCATCGACGTACATGTCGGCCTTGTTGTGAACGCGTTTATTGAAACGTGAGGAATATGATGTACCATAATGCCGACGGCTCTTTCGCTTCAAAATAGCGCCACTACCTTGTTCAATGCCTTTGGTCACGGCACCTCGAACAACTGCTGACCAACTAAAGCAAGAGTTAGTATGCACCTTCCAAACCCAGCAGGCTACTCACGCATAGAGAGGCCGAATCGCCTGTATCTCTTGCTTCTCTACGAAGCTTTTGATCTTGGAAAACATGTATGGAGACTCCGAGAAGCCACCGACCAAGAAGAGATACTAGAAAAATTAGTATATGTAAGCCGGAAGCGCTATTGTAATACGATCGCTGGGATTCGATGTTAGATATACGACGTACCTTGATCTTGATATTGCTTTCGCGAGCCCGCTTGATTTGCTCTTGGATTAGCTCGTATGTTTGGAAAATAGATGAATCAAACATTGCTCGTGTATCGCCCCTGATTTTGTGAGTTTAGAGTTACAAAACTTGCGTCTTCGGGCTTACGCTGTGATCTTCAAATCTCCGTCGCTGATGCCTCTCTTCTCATCATCATCAATGGCGCTCAGAGGGTTTGGCAATAGCAGGTAATTCGTCTGAGTTCCCGAGAACCCGCTCTTGACCTCCATAGTGAAATCTTGAAGAAGTTTGGCCGCTTTCCTATTGAGCGAAGTACGAGGTAGCTCTTCACTTCGACAACCAGCAATCTTAATGAAGTCATCCGTGCCCAAACGGAGTTCAAGCCACTGAAGAAAAGCACGGTCGATGAAGCTACCACCACACTGAGCACCATTGCCTACAGTAGCTTCCTCGATGACCGTGGGTTGGACACTGGCAACTCGGTACGCGATAAGATCAACGGTCCCGCCTCCCATGTCGCAGACAATGAAACCGTCACCAACTGCCAGTTTCGTATCCTGTGATGTACCACGGAGCGTTTTGATGGTGTAGAGAGCAGCGGCCTCTGGCTCTGTAGTGACGATGATAGGCATTCTCAGCTCTCGAAACTCTAGAGAATTGAAGCCGGCCTTTTCGATAGCCTGCATGGTCCGGTGTTTCGCAACGTCTGACCACACAGCTGGGACCGTCACCACCAATGTTATGGGAAGCGTCCTCCATAGTTCTTTGCCGTATTTGTCGTCCAGGTTTTTGATCAAATGAGCCTTCACTTGCGCAAGGAAGTCGGCCACGATTTCAACGGGTGGTTTGCGTACCCCAAACGAAGACACAGTCTCTCCGATTACCATGGCGGCCTCGCCATCTCCACGGTTGTCTAATTCAAGCTTTGTCCACATGTGTCGCTTCTCATGTGGCGGGATGTCAGAGCCCCATCGCAGGCCTTCTTTCAGATAGGCCACCTCGCTTGGTACCTTCTCTTTTGTGCCGATCTTTCCATGACGTGACGGCCAATCGTGTACAACCTCGATATGTTGATGTTCTAAGGTGTAGTCGGATATTTCGCAGAACGACACGCCTGGGATATCAATCAGAATAGCTTAACACTCTGGAGCATTAAACTCACCAGTGTAGGTCGTGCCATAATCGAGCCCTACCACTAGTCGACTGCCTGCCATGGTTCTGTAACGGTGTTGGAGTTTTGGTAAACGGTTGCCTATTGTTAAACAGGTGAGGGGTAGAGGAGATTGCGCTGAGGTAAGTGGGGTCGAGACACTAAATAGTCGAGGTGAAGGTAAAAAGGAAACTGATTAGTCGGGTGAAGGTGAGAGAGTGGGGCTGCATCAGAGCGCCTATATCTGATTTGCAAACTGCTTGATACTCATCTCACTCCAGCAAAGGCTCACCGGACAATCTTTTATCCACACAATCAACCAGAAAATCCCAGTTGCCTCCAGGTGCAACTGCAAGCATGAGCTACAATAGCCAGAAACACTCCACGCCGACTGTAAGTTCAGCTATGATATCTCACTTTCCTAGCTCACTGCTGGTCCAGGCCTCGTTTGCTGTCATGGAAAACGCCAAGTATCCAGCCACACCTACGAAGCCTCGCGGCAACAGTATCAGTAGAAGTTGTGCCGAGAGTCCTGTCAACACTCCGCAAAACAATGCATATTCTACGCACTATATCGCGAGCAGTGGTGAAGGTGTAAAAGAACAACTACCATCACTTGTCCACAACTCCACGAACAAAAACAGAGCGTACAACAAAATACTCCGGCCCAACAAGAAACTGTACCATAAGAACAAAGGTCTGCACAGGGAAAACGCAGCCTTGAAAGACATGGTTGATCAGCTGACCGCCGCTGATGGCGATCTCAACTTGAAGAGCCATAGCGGCGAGAAACCGAAATCTGTGAAGAATGGTCTCACAACATACAATGAAGATCATAAGTCTAATGTCGATAATCTTGCCATGGGATATGTCGGATCTACGATGAGCATCGAACACTATGAAAGAGGAGGGTTTGAGGATCTGAGAAACCAAGTCAGCAGTCTTCAAGCACAAACACAAGACCTGAAAGGGAAACTCGCGAATTCACACTTACGATGCCAGTTGTTGGAGGCGAAGCTTTACGCCCCAGACGCCCAGCTCCAGAAATCACTTCAAGCTCTGGAAATGTCCCAAGGTGAAGCGCAGACCCTACGGAACCAAGTGAAGGCACTGCAGAAAGAGATGCTCGCCCAAATATCCAAAGTTGAAGTCATTTCTGACGAGACATTCTCTCGTGATTTCCACACTCTTGCCTCCCTGGTGAAATCGCTTAGCCGCTCAGTTCAGCCAGCACACGACTCGGACCTGATGAGTATCCTTGGGACTAGTATACTCCTGACTGGTGTCGTAAAGCAGCATTGGGATACACGGGCGCGCAAAAAGGTCTATGTTGAGGCATGGGTATGGTCTGTCCTGATCTCCCTGGTTTTCGACAACCCTTTCGGTTTTTACAAAAGGGACAGCAGCCTCAACAAGAACTGGAAATTCATCTTCGGCAACAGCCATGAAAAGGAATGGCCCATCCCAACTCGAGAATCTGAGAACTGGAGGCTCGTCACAGTGGAGAAGTTGTTGGGGCAGATAGGTCGTGCAACCGTAACTTCAGGACAAGTACGGAGGTGCCTCACAAAAGTTTTGTCCTGCCAAGAATAATTTAGCCGAAATCTGGCCGCTC